TCCTGACCTTGTGATCCGCCCGCCTCGGCCTCCCAGAGTGCTGGGATTACAGGCGTGAACCACCGCGCCTGGCCTCTCTCTTTCCTTCTCTTTCCTTCCCTCCCTCCCTTCCTCCCTCCCTTCCTTCCTTCCTTCTTTCCCTCCTTCCTTCCTTCCTTTTTCTTTCTCCTCCTTTCCTTTCTTTTTCTTTCTTTTTCTCTTCCTTCTCTTCTCTTCTCTTCTTTCTCTTCTCTTCTGAGACAGGGTCTCCCTCTGTCACCCAGACTGGAACAGTGATGCAAACATAGCTCCCTGCAGCCTCAATCTCCCTGGCTCCAGGAATCCTCCCACCTCAGCCTCCTGAGTAGCTGGAACTACAGGCATGCACTAACACACTCCACTAATTTTTTTGTTTTTGTAGAGATGGGCTCCCCCTATGTTGCCCAGGCTAATCTCAAACACCTGGGCTCAAGAGAGCTTCCTGCCTTGGCCTCCCAAAGTGCTAGGATTACAGGTGTGAGCCACCACACCTGGCCTCATTCATTTCTTTAAAATCTTGGCTCTGACTGTGAGGCAGGCCTGCATAGGAGTGAATCACATAGATGAAGTCCCTGCCTTTGTAAAGCTGACACCCCAGGCAGGCTCTGAGATGTGGCTGGCCGCTGCTTCCCCCTCTACGCTCAAGCTGAGGCTGAGAACCTGGTGGTTCTTTCAGGAACAGAGGCGGCTGAGCCAGGAACGGGATCGCCTAGAGGGTCTTCGCCAGAGACTCCGGGAGGCCCAGGGACAGCTCGACTCCCAGCCAGAGGACCAGCGCGAGCGGCTTCTGCAGCGTGTGCAGGAGGTAATGGCCCTCTGGTTCTATCTTTTTAGTTTTTGAGACAGAGTCTTGCCCCATTGCCCAGGCTGGAGTGCAGTGGTGCGATCTCGGCTCACTGCAACCTCCGCCTTCCAGGTTCAAGCGATTCTCCCAACTCAGCCTCTCGTGTAGCTGGGACTACAGGTGCATACCACCACACCCGGCTAATTTTTGGAATTTTAGTAGAGACAGGGTTTCACTGTGTTGGCCAGGCTGGTCTCCAACTCCTGACAGGTGATCCACCTGCCTCAGCCTTCCAGAGTGCTGGGATTACAGGTGTGAGCCACTGTGCCCAGCTGGCCCTCTGGTTTTTAGCCCCCTCCTCCCCCAGGACCCAGGAATCCGGGTCTTCAGTCACCTTATTCCTCTGACCAGGAGTCCCAGCCCCAGCACCCTACTCCCCGGGGTGCTAGGGATCCAGACCTCTCCAGCCTTTTTGTGTTCCGACCTATAGATGAGGGAACAACTGGATGTGGCCCAACGCGCCTATGAGGACCTGGAGTTCCAGCAACTGGAGCGGGAGAGCCGGCAGGAGGAGGAGGATCGGGACAGCCCTGGGCCCCAGGCACCAGACCCCAAGGTCCAGGAACTTCAGGCCAGCATGGCGCAGCACAGAGTGAGTCATGCCCGACCAGCGCTGCCCCCTTTGCTGCTCCTCTCTGTCTCCCCTGCTCTGTGTCTGCCTTTTTCTCTGTCCTTGTTTCCTACCTGTCATGTTCTTCTGAATAGTAACAACAGGAGCTGGTACTGATGAAACATTTACTATGTGCCAGATATGGTCCTGAATGTTTCATGAGCATTTCCTCATTGAATCCTTACAACAAACCTATTGAGGCAAGTCCTATTACGTTGTTTTTTTTTTCCATGTTATAAATAAAGAAGCTGAAGGTCAAGATGCTTAAGTAATCTTTTCAAAGTTTCTTTAGTAAGGGATAGAGCCAGGAGTTTTTTATTTTTATTTTTTGAGATAGGGTCTCACTCTGTCACCCAGGCTGGAGTGCAGTGACACATTCACGGCTCACTGCAGCCTCGACCTCCTGTGCTTAAGCGATCCTCCCACCTCAGCCTCTCGAGTAGCTGGGACCACAGGTACGAGCCCCCACACCTGGATAAGTTTTGTATTTTTAGTAGAGATGGGGTTTCACCTGGTCTCAAACTCTTGGGCTTAAGCAATCCTCCCACGGTGCTGGGATTACAGGCATGAGCCACCGTGCCTCGCCACAGCCAGGATTTGAACAAACTTGGTATTCACCACCACATTCTTTGCCTCTGTTCCAAAAAGATGCTCCATAGATCCCTCCTGGGAGCTTCACATTCAAGGGTCTGACTTGTCAGACCCTTGGGAAAAAAATGGGCATGTTTGACCATATTTAACACAGACTTTCCCAAAGTTTTGGATTAGAAAGCTCGACCGGGCTCAGTGGCTCACACCTGTAGTCTCAGCACTTTGGGAGGCCGAGGCAGGCAGATCACCTGAGGTTGGGAGTTCGAGACCAGCCTGACCAACATGGAGAAAGCCCGTCTCTATTAAAAATACAAAATTAGCCGAGCGTGGTGGCGCATGCCTGTAATCCCAG